AAACAAACAAAAAAAAACACCAAAAAAAACGGCAAGAACAAAAAAGAAGGCCCGGGGGGACCGTCCCCGAGACCATCGGTCAACTGCCTGGGGGGACCGGCCCCGTGATCAACGGTCAACCGGGGGGACCGGCCCCGTAATCAACGGTCAACAGCCTGGGGGAAGCCACGTGAACCGCAGGACCGTTCCAGTGTGAACCGGCGGTCAACCGTGCCATGTCCGCGCCTGCGGCATCAGGGCCCGAGTTTGTGCCCTCCTCGCCGGAATTGCGTTCTGACACCCCGCGCGTTGGCACGCACGAGGCGGTCACCGTGGCTACGCCTCCCTTCCCGAGTGGGGAAGTCACCCCGCGCTTCGAGCCATGCCCGCCACAAAATGTAGCTGTTTGCCCTGCTTGCCTTGACCCGGTTCTGCCGGAAAGGGCCGGCCCGGCCACGGCGTGCCGCTGGCCTGTATGCGGGCATTCATACCATGCCTTGTGCCTTGCTCGTTCCCGTGCCCACGTGCAGCGCATGCAATGCGCCCTATGCAGGCAGGGTTGGCGACCGGCCTTTGACAGCGACCTTGAAGCCCTATGTGGCCAGCTTGGCATTGGCACGCCCTGCAGCTGCATGTCCAGCCCGCGCCCTCTGCCGGTGTTGCTTCTGATGACGCTGACGTTGCTATGGCCCTTGGCTCCCGAGCTTGATGGTTTTGTTACCTCAGCTCCCGTTGCGCCTGCGAATCTTGTTGAGCCCGCGCCTCCGCCAGCGGTAGGTCCTCACACCTGGACAGCTGCCCGGCCCCCCCTTGCAGAGGGCCAAGTGCCTCCGGTCAACAGTTGGTTTTTCGTGCCGCTCCAAAACGCCAATGGTCAGCTCATCCCGTGAGACCCCATGCCTGATGCAGACTCGGCAGCTCCTTTGTCTTTGCCTCGAATGCCGGAACTTGAAAGCCCACCCGTGCGAGCAGCCCTTGCCCGGCTTGACCAGGTTGATTTGCCACGTGTCCTTCAGCAGCGGTGCTTGTTTTTCCAAAGCCCCCCGAAGTTCCTCCGCGGCCCTTTCCGGGCGGCCTTGTCTCTTGCCCTGCGGGCCATCGACTCCGCCAGGCCTGACAACGAGACCGAGCAGACTCGAGCGTGGATTCTTTGGTTGTTGCTGCCCCGTTTGCTTCTCCACCGGCGCCCCGGCACTCACAGGCTTACCAAGCCCAAGTGGCGTGCCCGGCTTTTGGATTTCCAAGCCGGCCGGTGGGAGGCACTGCTTGAGTCCGCCGCTGCGTGCGTTCCAGCTGCAACCGGTGCCCCGCCCCCCGCCGCCCCGGCCGATCCAGCACGTCGTGCGGAGCGAGCTGCGCGATTAGTCGGCCAGGGCAAGCTTTCAGCTGCGAGTTCTGCATTGGTTTCTGGACCCTTGGCCCCGCTCACACCCGCCGCCCTGGCCGAGTTACAGGACCCCGCCCGGAAGCCCGACCATTTGGCTTTCCAACCTGAGTCCCCTGTCGTGCTCGCAGCTTCCACGGTGCTTGGCAATTTGCGGCGGGCTCGGAAAGGAGCTGCTGCCGGCCCCACTGGTTACACAGCGGAGTTCTGCCGTCTGGCGTTGGATGACGAGGCGACTAGTTCCTCGTTTGTTCGTGCTGCCTCCACCTTGGCTCAGGCGAGAGTCCCACCGTGCATCGCAGCGGCCTTTGGCCTGGGGCGCATGGTTGCCCTTCAGAAACCCAATGGGCACGTCCGGGGGATCGTGGTTGGTGACTTCTTGCGGCGTTTGGTGGCTCGCTCCTTGGCTCAAAGCTTTGCAACACGGTTCCTGGACGCGTGCCAGCCTTTTCAGTTTGCCTTGTCCACTCGTGCCGGCACGGAGGCCGTGGCCCACGCCCTCCTTGTTGCCACTGAGTCCCGTCCTGACGCAACCATCCTGTCCGTCGATGGTGTCGGCGTTTGATACCATCAGCCGACAAGCCATGCTGCAGGCCTTGTCCAGCACTCCCGGCGCCAATGTGTGCTTGCCTTCCGTGCGCCAGTTCTACTCTGACCCCTCCCGGCTTGTGTGGCATGACGCTGGCGGCCAGGCCCACCTGATTTCGCAGGCGGAAGGCGGCGAACAGGGCGACCCGTTGATCCTAGCGAGGCTTCGTGCCCGGGAGCCTGCTGGACCTGCACTTTCGGGCGTTCTCCAGGCCCAGGACGCGCTGATCACGGCAGGGTTTCGCCCGCCTTCTTGGGAGGATTTGCTTGACAATCCAGCCCCGCCGTCATCTTTGGACTTGTCCGGGCAGCTGCCCGAGCCCAGCGCCCGGGGCTGGCAAGCGCCCGCTGCCACTGCCATTGCTGAACAACTCCAAGCTGCCCTATTGCCACAGCTTGACGCCGCGTCCCAAGCGCTTTTGTTTTCCCAGACTGGACCTTTCAGCAGCCGCCCTTTCTGCAGTGCGCCGTCCTGCCCCGAGCTCACCTTCCCTTCTGACCACTTGCGTGCCCTTCTGTTGCGCCGTTTGCGCCTCCCCTTGCCCTTGTCCGCGCGCAGCTGCCGGTGCCGTCGCCCTCTCGACCCTTTTGGCGACCATCGAGCGACCTGCGCTAGGTCGAGCCGCCACAGTGTCCAGGCCCGCACCTGAGCAGGGGCATCCTCGGGCCGCGCGACATCAATTGCCCGAAGAGCCAACGAGAGCGCTGCACGGAAAGGTCCTCGGAGGGCACTGGAAAAAGAGACAGGGCACGGGCAGAACGAATTGGGAGGCTGTCTGAGCTGGGCGCGGGTGGGGCGCCGTCCGCCAGCGGCTGGGCCACGGGGACGGGGGTCGCGAGGCAAACGTCCTCCTCGGGGCGACGGGGACGGGAGTCCCGAAACCAACGTCCTCCTCCGGGAAGCCAAGAGGAGGCAGGCGTGCAGGCTGAGAGGCCCGGTAGCGGGACCACCGGTGGCGCGGGCTGAGCGCCCGAACGCAACTGATCAGCCAACACAGACAAGTCAGAAGCAACACGCTCGCTTAGGAAGACTTGCAGCAACGCTTCCTTGTGCGGTGTAAGGCATCGCTCCAATACCCACCGAAAATGCACAAGCGTGTGGGTCGGCAAAGCCGCGCCTCAGCCAGCGGTAGGTCCTCAAACCTGGACAGCTGCCCGGCCAAGTGCCTCCGGTCAACAGTTGGTTTTTCGTGCCGCTCCTTCTTGCCGGCGGAGGCCTTTTGCTCCAAAATGCAAAGCGCCAATGGTCAGCTCATCCCGTGAGACCCCATGCCTGATGCAGACTCGGCAGCTCCCTTGTCTTTGCCTCGAATGCCGGAACTTGAAAGCCCACCCGTGCGAGCAGCCCTTGCCCGGCTTGACCAGGTTCATTTGCCACGTGTCCTTCAGCAGCGGCGCTTGTTTTTCCAAAGCCCCCCGAAGTTCCTCCGCGGCCCTTTCCGGGCGGCCTTGTCTCTTGCCCTGCGGGCCATCGACTCCGCCAGGCCTGACAACGAGACCGAGCAGACTCGAGCGTGGATTCTTTGGTTGTTGCTGCCCCGTTTGCTTCTCCACCGGCGCCCCGGCACTCACAGGCTTACCAAGCCCGAGTGGCGCGCCCGGCTTTGGCCGGCGGGAGGCACTGCTTGAGTCCGCCGCTGCGTGCGTTCCAGCTGCAACCGGTGCCCCGCCCCCCGCCGCCCCGGCCGATCCAGCACGTCGTGCGGAGCGAGCTGCGCGATTAGTCGGCCAGGGCGAGCTTTCAGCTGCGAGTTCTGCATTGGTTTCTGGACCCTTGGCCCCGCTCACACCCGCCACCCTGGCCGAGTTACAGGATCCCGCCCGGAGGCCCGACCAGCCGTACGACTCCATCAATGCTGCAATTTTGGCTTTCCAACCTGAGTCCCCTGTCGTGCTCGCAGCTTCCACAGTGCTTGGCAATTTGCGGCGGCTGCCTCTCTAACAAAAGCATCAAGCTGGGGGGCCGCAGGGGCCATAGCAACGTCAGCGTCATCAGAAGCAACACCGGGAGAGGGCGCGGGCTGGACAGGCACAGGGTCATGCAGCTGCAGGGCGTGCCAATCAATGCCAAGCTGGCCACATAAGGCTTCAAGGTCGCTGTCAAAGGCCGGTCGCCAACCCTGCCTGCATAGGGCGCACTGCACGCGCTGCACGTGAGCACGGGAACGAGCAAGGCACAAGGCATGCATGGTATGAATGCCCGCATACAGGCCAGCGGCATGCCGTGGCCGGGCCGGCCCCCTCCGGCACAACCGGGTCAAGGCAAGCAGGGCAAACATCTACATTTTGCGGCGGGCATGGCTCGAAGCCCGGGGTGACTTCCCCACTCGGGAAGGGAGGCGTAGCCACGGTGACCGCCTCGTGCGTGCCAACGCGCGGGCTGCCAGCACGCAATTCCGGCGAGGAGGGCAAAAACTCGGGCCCTGATGCAGCAGGCGTGGACATGGCACGGTTGACCGCTGGTTAACCCTGGAACGGTCCTGCGGCACACGTCGGTTCCCCCAGGCTGTTGCCCGTTGATTACGGGGCCAGGCAGTTGACCGATGCACTCGGGGACGGTCCCCCCGAGCCTTTTTTTTTTTTTTTTTTTCTCGTCTTGTTTCGACCCCCTCCTGGCCAGGGAGGAAGGCCGGGTGGGTTGTTTATCCTGGGCTCACCGCCCCAGCAGCGGTTTGTTTATACTGGGCCCGCCACCCAGCTGTGCACGACGGCTTGTTTATCCTGGGACCGCCCCCCAGCAGTGCAATCCGTGGCGCCCGCGCGCAGCCCAAAACAGAAACAACAACCGGGGGGGGCAGCCCAAACACCCAAAAGGAACAACAAACAACGGAGAGGGGAAGGCAGCCAGCCAATCGTCCATTGCTTTAAGCTAGGGGCCCACGGCTGATAACCTATAGGTTCTAGGGTTAATGCGCTGCTCGCACATTTTCTTGCTTGAACAGCCACACTGCGGATGCAATTGGTGTTAAACCCCCAAAACTCACCGATTGAATTCTTTAAAACCAACTGACAAAACAAGGGCCGAAGCCTTCCAGCGGCACAGCCCGTCCTGCGCCCTTGAAGCTCTGCCCCTTCCCAGGCGCAGGCCAGGAGTTCCACGATGCCGCCCAGGATCCGTCATCCCAGCCCCAGTCCCAGGAATCGCCCCAGCCATTAGCGGGCCAATGTCCGCAACCTGCCACAAGTGTAGCCACGGTCGAAAAAACCATCTGTAGCCCATGGTTTCCTCTGCAATTCCACGGCCCTCCTGCCTTGGCCGCCCCACATGAAGTCACCAGAACGGCATTGCAAGCACTACATGCGCATGTTGGCAACAGGCATCACAGCTGTAATCAAACACACACCTCTGCTGCATTGCTCGCAAAGAAAGACAAACTGCATGTCAAGTCAACGAAGCAAGATCGCAATCTGGGTGTGCAACTGTTGCAACGTTGTATTGCAAGTATGTGTGTGTGAGTGTGTGTGTGTGTGTGACTAGGTGTGAATGTGTGTGTGGGTTATGTCTGGCCATGTTTCCGGGCAACACGGCTGCAAATCATCTGTGCCCAAAATTGGAAAGCCCTGACACCATGCCGAACGTTTTGTTGGGCACAGTATTGTTAACAGAAACAGTTCTATCATGAATTCCGCAAGGTAGTTCCGAAGCTTGCGAATGGCTTGCTCTTTAGCAGCACCGTGTAAACAGAGTGGCTTGGCTTCCCGAGTTGTTTCTTTGAAGGCGATTTTTGCCGTTTCTTGCCTGGAGCTGCTTGGTTCCACACATACAGGTTTGCCAAGAACTGCTGTTCATCCTGTTCAGTGAGTGGTTGTTGTTTTTTTGGTTTTGCTTTTTTTTTGTGCGCTCCACGTCGCAACATTCAAGTCATGTGCTGCGCACGCCCCACGCAGCACACCTGCAACATGAGGGTTGCGGACACAAGCGGCCATGGCAAGCGGAGCCGCCACTGCACTTTCAAGACCGAACAGGAACAGCGGCAAAAGCGTCCTGATGAACGTCGGGCGCAGCGTGACGTTCCCAAGCTTGGAAGTTCAAAAGTCATGAGAAATCGCGCCCATTCTCCGTCGCTTGGTGACGTGGCCGTTTTTGTTGTTTTTTCGCCCCTTTTCCACGGAAGCTGTCTGTCGGGCACGCTTAAAGCTTGTTTTCTCCCGCCGTTTCTGCAGCTCTGTCAACTTTAAAGCGGGTCCTGGGCACAAGGGTTTCGAAGGCTGTTGTTTCAATTGTTTCCAACTGCAGAATGAAGCCTTTTGCCTTCATTCAGCACGCTGAAATTGGCATACGGTGCATTTCCCAGGGCCACGTCTTTGTATTCAAACGCAGTGATCTGCTCAGCTGTCGGCTCAGCTTCTTTGAGTGGATCTGCCCCATTCCGCTGCCAGACACTGCTCCCTTCCCAAGCGAACGACTGCTGGGTGCTTCTTCATTGTCCTCCGAGTTCAATGTCCCAAACCCTCACCTCCAGGTTGTGGCCCTTGGCCGCCTTCGTGTGCCTCTCCCCTTCAGTGAGCGGGCGTGCTCAGATACGCGACACGAGCGGAAAAAATTCGCAAAGGGCAGTGCTGCAACAAGTTGGACAAAACAGTCCAGCAAGGCTGCGTCATGCACCGAGGGGACTCAGGGGGCAAGGAGTGGCAACTCACCCAGACAGAGCCGTCTCCAACATCAAAATCGCCGATCCCGGGCGGGACTTGGCCAGCAGCATTCCGTATTCGGGCTTTGCCGTGGTTCAGCTGGATGCGGGCGTGACGCCACAAGGCCGCAGCAAGCAGGCCAAAAACCGGTCTGAAGTTGGTGTCATCCAGGAAGGGAAGCAGCAGCTCGCCCAAGTGCAGAGTCGAATGCCATCGGGGATGGGTTCGTAGGCTGCGCCGGATCACAAAGCAGCCTCGTTGCCGAGGGCAAAGGAGGAAGCAGACAAGGCCATGCGCGCTGCGGTCAACTCCCCAAAGTGGACCCGGTGACGACGGCCTCTGCAGGCAGACGCATGAAGACTTTCCGGGCCGGCTTCCGCAGTTGGGGCAGCCCGTGGCGGGTCATCACCCGCTGCAGGGGACTGGGCGGTTTTGGCCAACAACGCCATCCACTCCCCAGCGGGCCGGGAAAAGTGGCGCAACAAAACTCGCATCGAGTATGGCCGGCAAAGCGATGGAAAGCGCGTGAACGGGGCCACGAACAAAAGCCGTCGAGTTTCTGCTAGCGGGCCGGGGTGCTGGGGAAAGAAAACCGCCAGGTGTGGCCCGGCTGTTGCTGCTGCTGTGGTGGCAGTCATTGTTGCGGGCGAACGTCTGTCTCGGCTGCGGCGGGGCGGGCTAGCATAAGGTTCGGTGGCAGCCGGCGTGCGCAGCCTCCTTTTCCGCCGGGCCGATGAGGCGGCGCCCAGCACATCGGCGGCTGCGCGTTGACGAAGTTGCGGCGAGTGTTGCGCACTTCCTCAGCAGCTTTCAGCTCACAAGGCGCAATGGTTGCGATGGAGCCGGCCTTGCACACCTGCACGCAAAGGCGCTGCCCCCCACCCCCATCCGGGACGCTGGAAACTGCAAGCGCGCGCGGAAGTGAACGTGAAGTACGGGAGCTCAGTTGTTGCGAGCTGCGGCGAAGGTCGCCTGGCTCTGACTGTCAACTTGCGTACGTGCGGCGCTTGTGTTTTTTGGCATCTCGCTTGCTGGCTGCTGGGCAGTCCACTGCCCACGTGGACGGCGCTCCACTTTAGCTGTCCAATACTCTCAGTGCTACGAGGCTCTTCGCGTCGCCTCCAACTGCAGCACCTGGGCTGGGGCTGTCATGGCTTTGCGTTCCCTTACTGCGCAAGGCTGTGAAATTGCGACCGTTTTTGTTTTTTCCGCACGCCTTTTTCCATCGCCGTGTCTGTCCCCCTTAAACCCTGCTTCAGGGGAGGCTCTTGGAGGCGCACAGGCAATTTGTAGCCCGGGGGCCCCCTGTGCAGGTACAGCTAGCCGGCAGGCAACCGAACAGAAGCTCACCGTCGACATGGCGCCCAGCGGGCCACAAGAACAGCAGGCAGGCTGAGCCAGCGCCTCACTCCTTTGCGCGCGCCCTCGCGCGAGCCAAAGCGCGGGAGGCGCCAGTTCGTCTCCGTCCAGCGTGGTCGCTGTGCTTGTTGCCCGATGGTCACCCGGTAGTGGCCCCACAAGATGCGCTCACCGCGGTCACGCCGGTGCTGCTGAACGGCGAGTCCTGCCCGTTTCTTGGGGGAGACGTCACGCCGGGGCTCCCGACCCACGCTGTCACAGCCGGCCCTGGCAGAGACTTCCGACGTTGAGCCGGCACCTGGCGCCGGTGATCACGTTGCTACTGCCCTTGCCAACCACCGTCCGTGGCTTGCTGCCAGCCCCCCCGGCTGCAGGGGATCGTCTGCCCCGCTCTTTGTGCCAAAGCGCGCCCGCAACTGCTTAAAGCGGCGTGTTCTTCGCCATCATCGACGCGCAGTGGCTAGCCTCGACCGATGAGCGCAGCAACAAGATCCGCCAGCTGCACTGGAGGCCAGGCAACGAGAGCCTGCTGGACCGCCGACTGAGTTGGCAATTGGGCACCGGCGCCGGAAGAGCAGGAGGGCACGACGTGTTCGTCGCTGGGGCTTTAAAACGCACGAACAAGAAGTCCTTTCTGTGCCCCACGTACAATGCGCGTGGCTCCTTGTCCTTCTGTGTGCGCAACCGCGTTGCAACTGCTTGCTCCTCCTTCGATCTTGCGCGTTGACCTGCAGCCATGTTGGTGAGGTGTGTAGGGTATGTAATTGGCTTGCATACCTGGGCGGATCATACAGCAGCAGAAACGGGAAATTGCGATCACAGGAGTCAGGGATTCTACGCAACGCATTGTCCATTCAAGCTCAAGCAGATAGCCAGTCACTTTGCCTAGGAGCATGCAGGCAAGAGCATTCTGTGCTGTGAGATATCAGTAAACCAAACATACGCGATGTGGCTTGAAGTGGAAGAGGCTCGGCTGGCTGCCGCAACTTCGGCATGCCTCAGCAAGCCACCCCTACTCGGCAAGCAAGCCACAATAACACGAATCCAGAAAACAAGGTGTTTGCTCTAACACTCTTGCATATTGATTGCAGCGGACTGAAGCGCGTTCACTAGTAATGCCGCTGGAATGTGTTTGTTTGGATGCAGGAGATCAACAATCAGCCCCTCCTTCCGGAACAGTCAAAGCGCCCAAGCACGCACATCACGTCGCGTCTCAAGCCAGTTTTGCCCGGAGCAACTCCACGGCCTATTCGGCCAAGCGCAGCATTGGCGCGTAGTGAAATCCGCAAACGCCACAAGCCTGAAAAAAACTCGGGCCTTGCTACAATACAGGCCGAAGCCATCGATTTGAAAGCTTCAAAAAACCCGTCCCTTCCGGTCCAAAGGATCTTCCCACAAGGTCGACTCATAATCCCATGGGCCTTTGCCCAAAACAAGCCGGAACTCGCCAACTCGTGTCGGTGCAACACACAGAATCCGGAAGGGGGTGTTGAGAGCCTTACCCGACGCCGAAGCCTATGACGCCTATGGCTTCGGCTTGGAAGGCGAGCCCAAGCCGATGCCGATGATGGCCTTCCGGTCCTTGGGCATCTTCCGCATCATGGCCATGAACTCCTCGAAGTCGATCTTGCCTCAGGGCAAAAAGCCCCCGAGCGAGACTCTCGCTGGGGCTTTGATGTTTTTTCTCCTGGAAAAGGGGAAGGTTGGCCACCAGAAAGTAGGGGTGGAAGGGGAGGTGGCAGGGGAGGTGGAAGGTTTGTTGGATCCCTGGAAGATGTAACAAAAGGAAATTGGGTGGGCCTCTGCCAAAGATGCGGAAGAACGAGACTCGGGCAGAAACACTGCTTCATGACTGTCAATGTGGCCATCAGGCTTGCTCTCAAATTGGCTTGAACAAGCTGGCGAAAAGAAAGGCCTCATTGGACGGTCAGAGAGGTGTCTTGTTATGCTCACATGGTCAGTCTCAAGGCAAAGATCGCATTGGGCTCCTGGCCATCGCCATTGAGGTCCACTTCCTTCATGATGGCATCAACCTCTTTTGCAGTGTACCTCGCTTGGATCAACGTTTCTGAATCGCAGGTCGTTTCTGAATCCCCCCGCCCCGGAAAAAAGGTGTGATCTGCAAGAAGCTCTCGGAGAGGCTGGTTATTGCAACGCCTGATGCAGGCCAGCTGCTTGATCTGCATATCGTTGACCACGGTGCTTCCGCCCAACAACTTCATGAGCTCCTGCATCGGCTTTCAACCGACGGGCACAGCGGCCAAGCTCCAAAGCTCCAAATGCCAGCACACCAGCCAAGCGTGGGCACCCAACACGTCCGGCGAAGTTGTCAGGGAAATGAGAAAATGGCGGTGCCAGCTGCATCTGAGGGAAAGAGATCGCTTTTTGCACGTGCCCGGTGAAGCGGTGCCCCGCCTCCTTGTCGATGCTGCCGCTCCCATCTTGATCGAAGGTCTTGAAGGCACGCCAACAGGCATCCTGCCGGTAGCGCAAGGCGACCGGCCCAACAGCAACCGGCTAACACAAAAATGAGCGCCCAGCACGCTGCTTTTGGACAGGCTGTGACCACTCAGAAGGAGTTGGATCATGAGTAAAGGCGGAACTAACTCCCCGTTGCAACGCATTGATCCAGGCAGTTTGGGGGGATTCCCTGCACATTGCAGGGATCCCCCTCTAGTTTACCATATCTTGTAAATTGAAGTATTTGCAATGCTTACTGGGTTGTTCGAAATGGCTGGATCACTATTCCTAATCTGTAATCTGAATGGGACCCGACTACAATAAGAGAAACCAATACCATTTCGAATCACGATTGAGGATTGAGTTTGAACAACCCAGCTTGCAGACCATCCCAGAAAAATACACAAGATAACATCAAAACGGAGGCGTCGGGGCTTGGGTAACCGTCACATCCAGCCTCGGCAACCCACTCGCGCTTGTCTAAAGTCGCAGCCATGAACTCTGAGTAGTCGATCACACCACTGCCGTCTGTGTCGATCCTGGCAGTCTGAAACTCTACGTGACCCACAAAGAACATCAGTTCAGTTCAATGTCTGTTGGTTTCCAATAGGACATCGGCAAATGCGGACACTTTGGTTGTCAGTTCATGTCCTCCCTAAAGCAACAGAAAATGGTTGATCAAAAATAAATGTGGACATGAGCGAGAACCTCGTTCTATGTGGTCGGCCTCCCTCTTTTGGACGCCTAAAGATTTGTTGGTGAATGTGGAAAGCCCAGCCTGGCAACGATTGTTTCAACCCGAGCAGCGAAAGTGTTTGGAATTTGGAACCTTCTCATGTTCAGAACCGGCCTTTGCAGCTGTCTAAATCTTGACATGGTAGGGCTTCCCACATACCCATTGCCCCCTAATTTGCTTTTCTCAAAGGGAAGAACCTACAAACTGGGCTGGTCTCCCTTGTTTTGCCAACACGACCCGCAAAATCCAGAGGGTAGCTCGGCAAAACGCGACACACCCGGAAACCAAGCTGTCAAGCTTGCCTCTCCATCATCGCGGCCAGGTCTGCAGGCACGGCAACGCCGGCCTGGCCGCAGGCTCCGATACGACCGCACAAAGCAAAAGAACAATCATGCTCCCACAACACGGTGGGAGTTGAGTCAAACTGAATCATCGTCTTTTTGAAACGTGCGTACCAACCTGGATTCTGCTGTGAAACAGCAGCCCGCCTTCAAATGAACGTGAATCACATTGATGACAGGAATTTCGCATGTAGCGAGATTCCCGTGGACCAGTGGAAAGCCCTCGACATTTGCGACTTTGTTTAGGATGCCCCTGTGGGTCACATCCCACCATGGGTCGCCCGTCTCAGAATAGAATAGGTTGGCGCTTTCGATGCGAAACCAGGAGGAAACCAACACCTTCTATTCGGTCTGTTGAGACAAACCCACACACACACACATGCGTGGCACACACGTGGCACACACGTGGCTCACACGTGGCTCACATGCACACGTGGTTCGGAGGCACCTTCTCGAGGCCTTCCCTCAGCTCGCCCACGCTCAGCGTGCCATCGTTGTTGTCGTCCATGGCCATGAAGAGCTCCTCACCAGCGACCGGCCGACGGTGGCCGAGCCAGGTCAGTTGGAACATCGAAGAGGGCTGGCTCTTGCGCGCGTTTCAACTAGGACCATAATACCAACCATCAGGAGTCAAGCCTAAACAAAGAGGCTGGGAAATCAATGACACGGCACAAGGTTCAACAAGCGGCTGACGCGATGCTGGTTTAACGGTATTGCAAAGCCACATCAATATAAAGAAACCCGCACGATGCGGGGACCTCAAATTTTTGATTGCGGCTGGTTGTGGGCACGAACCTATCGCCTGGCCTTGAGGTCTTTGATGGCATCATCTGTAAGCTGAGTGGCAATGACGTTCAGCGCTGCCTGGCAAGCTGGCAAGTGACATGTGTATTCTCCTCAGAGCCTGGGGGCAACAACTCAAGAGGAAATCGGGCACGAGATTTGCCAGCTTGAAGGGACTTGCAAAGCAACTCGCTTGAAACAGTCTGTCTGTCCATTCAATCACACTGCACACGGAGACCAAACAGCGAGCAGTTGCTGCCCACTGCCCTCACCATGCGCCAGATCTGCAGGCTTGAAAACCAACGCGTGTAGCCGCCTTCTTCAGCTTGTTCATCACTGCAAAGCTTTTCAGATTCTGCACGACAACCTGCCAAAAACAATCCAAGTCGCGGAGACACATTGCTCCAAATGCCAGTATTCCGTTCTTGCTTTAGATGCATTCTCACCTCACGAGCCTGAAAGCATCATGCCACATGGCCCAAAAGGAAGATCTCTTTCATGTCACAAAAGTTGACAACTGAGAAAACTTGTCCACCGCAGTCACGGCGGCAGCCACGGCCTGTGAAGCTTGGACCAGATCTTGAGACCTCGGACGCCAACTTCTCAGGCCAAGGACATCGATTCCCAGCTTTGAAACGACCGTATCAGCGGCCTCAAATGGACACATCCCGAACAAACCGAGGTGGTTTAGGTGAGCGTGGCCATTTCAGCCTCGTGCCAAAATCTCAACCTGCCGACCTGGGGCCAGTGCGCGGTGTGCTGCTTGGTGAGCCACTCCTCCTTCAGGGCCGCATCAGCGCTGACCCTCGCCCTTGGATCCTTCGTCAGGAGCACCTGCACGGGGCAAAAGAATCCATCGCGAGCACCGAAGCCTCGCCGCAAAAAGCTGACAGAGGCAAGTGTTCGTTCTGATGCGCTGGTTAGGTTCTTTGTGGGAATTGTAGTTGGCTTCTGGAAAAATAGCGCTGGCAGTGTCTATCTAAAGACTTGCCTCAACGGACATGCTACCACCACTTCTGTGCCTCAAAAAACATTCCTCACCTTTGTTGTGGGTGCCTGACTCTTGCAACATCAGCAACCTTTTCAGGATGAAGCCAATCAGCACGCTGGGCACCCAATCAGAACTTGCCCACCCTCCCTCCCCGATCCAAAAACCAGCCAAACAACTTGGGCTCGCAATCAGGGACCCGCAGCACCAGAGGTCAACGGGCCCTTCTCTTTGAATTCAAATTATTTGAAGCCCGAGCTGCAGGAGGCTCCTGCGTAACACACGAAGCAACGTCTAAAGGACCCGAGGCAAAAGCAAAAACCAAGAAGGAAAAAACCGAAGCATCCCTCGGCCTTCAGCATGTTTTGAGCCTCCTGGGAGATGGCCTTCCACTCCTCACACTCGAGCGAGTCGGATTTGCAGCAAGTCCAAAAGCCTCAATGCCCTTTGGTCGGGTAAAGTCTCCCACTTCTATTCTGGTCACGATTGCTCCCCCCTGTTCTGAAGGGGATGCAAATGGATCTTCCCAAAATTGTAGGTTTGTGACATCACGCGCATCCAAGTCTTGGCCACACATCATACAGAGACACCTTCTAAAGCTTCTTCTCCGTGTTCCGAGCCCCAAAGATGACGAGGGTCTCTTGACCGAAGCCCGTAGCAATTGAAACCACGGACCCAAGTGACATGCTCGGAAGAAAAAGGGCAACCTTCTCTCGAGTTCTTGGCACATCATTTGACCGAAGAAAAAAACAACGAACGCCATGAGTGGATCACCCAACATGAGAAACCCTCCACCTCTTGACACCATGGGCCCGCACGCCCATCTGCTCTCAAAACCGTGAAACTCTAATTGGGGACCCTTTTGGTGGGCATCATTTACTGGGGGATGGATGTTGCATGTCCACCAACCTGTGGGGAACTACGCTAGACTTCCAAGAATACTACGTATGGCCAAACACCTGCATTTGTTGGCACGGATCTTGTGCATACTGGGATAAACCACCTATGTGTTGCATGTTTGTCCATCCACAGTTCATTGACCCAATCTCTCCTTCTGATCGAAGGTGAGCTCGGCCCGTCGCACGGCCTCCAAAACCTCTGTGGTGTCCTTGCCCGCGAAAGGCGGCGATCCGCTGAGCAGGATGTACCTCGTGCCACGCTGCCGGGCTACGACTTTTTAGGTGGAACCCCTTCAGAAGTGGCTGGTTGACATCAATCCCCTACATGCTTTCTGCAAACCGGCAACTAAGAGGGTGATACTTTAAGCCGCCAAAATAGGGAAATGCAGGGAACGTTGTGAAACATCCCCAGAAATGAATAGTGCCAGTCACTCACGCGTGCGATTGCTAACAAAGATGCCACACACCCTTGCTCCAATTCAGCCAGCAATCATGACCAAATGAGTCCGGCGGTGAAAGGGAGGAGCGGAAAAAGAAGCTCAGCGCAGAGGACTCAAGCAAAGAGTCACGGTGAAGGATGATTGCCTGCTCAGAAATACTCAAAGCGCCCCTTGGTACTCTTTCTGGAGGAACCTCCCCGTTACCTTCGCTGTTCGCTGACGGGCGCACATGATCACACCAATGCTCCACACATCACTGAGCTCGTTGTAGCGACCAGAAAGCACCTCCCGAATTGTTAAAGGCATCCTCAAGCACAAATTGTGAGCACTTGCGCAGGTCAGTGGTACCAGCAGGCTAACAAATGTTGTTCTTGGGCATGCATCCGGTAAACCTGATTGTCCAGGAGGAACATTGACACTTTGATCTTTGCTCTTAGTTGGGAATCAACTGGGGCAAAGGAAAATCCGGCAAAGCTAGTCGAGCGTGAGATGGTAGGGACTGCCTTCTGGAATCCTCGTTCGTCATGCGTCTCTGTTGGGACATGTGTGAATTGTTTTGTTGGATGCGGCCCGTTGTATCCCTAGCATCCCAGCCTTGGTACCAGGTGATGCTGTTGGGCTGATGTTGGCATGGCACTTTTTTACGCTCCGGGCGATTGGAAGCATGGTTGGGGCTCTCTTTGGTCTGAAGCAATCTTCCAGTGGCGTGTTTTGCCAACAGCAGCATTTGCTCCAGTGTCTTCTGTCTTGTTGATGCAAACAACCTGCATTGCGGGTAGGCAGGAGGCCCTGGATTTGCAAATACGCGTCCTCCATTCTCCATTGAAAAGCATCATCATGTGAAGTCCATTTGACCTCAGGTTTTGTTAGCATTTATATAAGTGGAACTTCAGACAAGGCCTGGCTTCCAGAGCTTGCTACAAGACCAGCGTACTGTCAAAAAAAAACATAGTGCCTCTACCGATTCTCCGGGCACAACTCCTGGTCTCCACGCGACACGCCAGGTCAACCCCTACTTTGCCCGCCTCAGGGGCTACATAGTACGGAGTTCCCGCCTGATGCAAAGGGGAGATGGACCCGTTTGGGGACTGCTTTGCGGAAGCGGCAAAGCAGAATGGGACCCACCACCTGGACATCTCGAGAAAAACCGAAAACCGAGGCCGGTACCTTTGTGAGAGCAAACTCTCCCGGGGCAAAGCGCTTGGATAGCCCGAAGTCGATCAGCTTCAGCGAGGTCTTTTCGATCGCTTCCTCGGGCTGCGCTCGGGGCCAGGATTCGATGGCCGGAATCACAACCCATGCATCGGGTTGGAAGATCCCAAATGGAAAAAGCACCCGCACGTTAGAATCATCAGACCTGCTCGCAATGGTTCGCATCCCACCCCAGCCCCCGCCACAAAGGAGAGATGAGAAGCGTAAGCATCCCTTTGGGGTGCACCCCTCTGAATACACTTAGGCGGGGATCTCAATCCGTGCCAAAGGCTCCGTCTCCGCGAGGAGCCAGTTCTCGGGCTTGAGGTCCCCTGGACTTCAAAAACTCCAGACTCCAGACCAGAAAAGCGAGGCCGAGAAGTATCTCCCGCCAAACTCATTCCCGAATCCCGAAACCCCGGAAAAATAGCCGTGGCTGTGAGGAAGGTCTGCTTGAGACAAACCAGACGAACATGCATGCTTTGCTTTGGTTTTAAAACAAGCTGACAAGGGTACCACTCGGGGAAAAACAACAGTCTGGGGAATGCAAGGGTATGATGTACCTCCGCTGCCCGGTGGAAGGGCTGTCATTCCCAAACAATCCACATTACTTCGCTAATACTGTGGCCAAAAGTTGTGCTAATTTCTTGCGGCTGAACGCCACACATTGGGTGTCCCCTCTTTTGAAGTTGCTCTCTTCAAACGCCTCCTTGCTCTGGCACTAAGCTCGCGGCGATGCATGATACAATTGAGGTGCATGTAGTTCACGGCTCGAAGCATCTGCTGGACACAAAAGGCGGCCGCCTGCAAGTGGCATATCACTACTTCGCCGAGTCGACAAAAGGGCTATCCAATAGAAGCGATAGGAGCTTCAAATGCAACCTCATATGTAATGTGGAAAGCCCGACATGAGAGACGTACCTATGTCCTTTCTTCCACGCCAACTGGCGGTTTGAGCAATGTCAGGCACGTGGCTGGCTACTTGCAGACCAGCCCAACCCATCCGTTCTTCTGCAGCGCGGCCCGGCAGGACCGCTGATGGAACCATGCCTTCAGATGCCTGCTGACAAATTACGGACCAGTAGTCGTCAGCATCGTGCTATTCATGAAGTTCGATAAGCAAACCCCACACAAGCTGCATACGACAGGTGTAGCGGACATTTCGTGCACGAACCATGGAGGCTGCGCCAGCCGTGACTAGCATTGCGAAAGCAATGAACAAGACGCCGTCAGAGGTTGACGAGCTTGTTGCTGGCGTGGGTAATGAACTTGAACCAAATGCCTGTGTAAGTACACCCTCCCCAACAGCAGGCAATGTCTCACGTAGAAACGGGGCCATAGGATGGGAAACCAAAACCGTTGCAATATTTGGTGAGTCAAACAAGAAGGGCTGCCTTCTCCGTGAACTTCCCGTCCGCCACGATGCGGTCGAAGAGCTCTCCGCCGTTGCAGATCTCCAACCTCGAGCTGCCGACCGCGCGCAAGACTGGCGATGCAAGGCTGAGCAAACGGCAGCGTGCCGTCCCTTGGACAAGTTGCAAATCTGTTCCTTCCAACGACTCCAAGGTCGGAGTGGCTGTGGAAGGCCACGTGTTCATGCAAACCTCCTGCATGTTGTTGCAAGTAAACTAGAATGGCTGGCTTCCTTATTTGAACTTGTATGTGTCTTGATTTATTGCAGGAGAGCAGCTCACTGCCTGCCGCGCGCTTTTGAACACACCACCAGGTTAGTTGAGAGTTCATTGGGACTCAGAATCCTTCTGGCTAACATGACTGTCAGCTTTACCTGGGCTCCGTGACAGCCGCTTACCCGCTTGGGAAGCATTCATGCATGGATACAATGCGTTGTTTAAGAGTGCGACGAAGCGCTGATCTCACATGCGTAGGATGAGGAACAAAACAGAACAGAACGGAACGAAACCAAACAGAACGGACCGGGAATGCAAAGCAATGAAATGAATTAAAATGAACATGAAATGAAGAACCAAAAAAGTACATTAAATGATGTGCAATGAAATGAAATGAAACGACATGTCATGAAATGACAATTAAATGACAAGGCAATACAATGCAATAACATGAAATGGCATGAACATAATATGAAAAATAATATGCGAATGAAATGAAATCACATGAAATATCATGACATGAACTGAAATAGCATGAAATAAGATGATAACATGAAATGAAATAGCATGATGTGAGAAAACAAATGAAATGAAATGACATGACATGTAATACCATGCAATGCAATGCAATGAAATGAAATGAAATGAAGTGAAAGTGAAATGAAACAAAAGTGAAAGTAAAACGGATAATAATAAAAAATGACATGAAATGAAACTGCAAATGAAATAAAATGAAATGATATGCATGAATGAATGAATGAATGAATGAATGAATGAATGAATGAATGAATGAATGAATGAATGAATGAATGAATGAATGAATGAATGAATGAATGAATGAAGGCCAACTGAGCTTGTTCCAGCTGCATTAGCCACCAGCACTCAAGCAACAGAAGCAAAATGTCGTCAGCTGGAGGAGGACACCAGTGTAGAAAGAAACACCTCACTTTGTCAGGCACGTATTCACGGGTCCTGAAGCACTTGGCCCGAAAAACACTGTTGCTGCAGATTGCATCTTTCCAAGCATCAGCACAAATTGCAAGGCGTTCCTAGTGCGGTCATAAAAACGCAGCTTAGCAAACCGAAAACACCATGCGAACAAGGTGCACGAGGTAAACGTTGCGCTCGTCGTCGAAGGTCTCCGAAACATGCCACAAGCAATCAAAAGATCACGTCTCCAGTACTGACTTTGCACCAGAAGCTCAAAGCCTCGTGCAAGCGAACGATGTTCGGATGGTCCAGGAGCTTCATGATTGTCATCTCTTCTTTAAATCTCAGCTGCTTTAAACACTTCAAGCATGGCAAAGCACCACCTGGATTTCAATGGTGGCCTGGAAACAAAAACTCGGCAGCCGGCTGTTCCGGGTTCTTGACCAACTTCTTGTTGATTGTCTTGACGGCTCTCCACTGCCCTGTGTCCTGCGGGCAGGCCTTGATTGCGACTCAGTAAACAACTGACAGCGTTGGTCTCACATGACTGACGGAAGCTCGCAAACTCTGCCAACTAAAAACTGGTAGGAGTTCACTTGCATCCAGCCTTGTACATGCATTTCTGTACAGATCCGTAGGAACCTTCTCCAATAACCTGACAGGCGCCATTGCAGGATTCTCCCAGCATCGCACACACTTAACAGCTCTTCACAGGGGGGAAATACCAAATGCTGCACCTCCCATGTGCCAGTCCCCCCGACCAAAAACATGCCGCGCTCGTATCTTTCGGCCACCGTTTTTTCCTGGTTCAACGGGCGCCTTGGTCTCCACCTCGTAGAAGTCCTCGAGCTGCCCGCGGTTGGAAGCCGCAAAGGCGCCGATGGAGAAGGCCCCCGCCTTGACGGAGAGGTTGGCCCGGGCCTCACGGACCCGCGTGCGCGCGCCTTTGTTTGCAAGCTTCTGTACAGCCGAAGGGGGGCGGGAGAGGGTTGTTTTTGCAAACTCCGTGCCCTTTTTCTTCGACGCATTGCCTTGTGCATTCTGCATTCTGTAGCGGACTAAGCTTTTGCGCTACATGCCTATGCAAATGAGGAACAGAAAAAGAAGAAGAAAAAAAAACACTGGTCTCTCTCTGTGGGCTCTACCTTCACCAGATCGATTTGGATGACAAACAACTCAATTCGCAAGGGTCTCTGCACGAAGCGAGGTCTTGAACACTTGACATTCCATGCGCCTTGGCAGCTATTGTTGGGCTCCAAAATTGTGGTGGACGCTAGCTCGATAGCTCCCTCTGCTTCCGATTCACCCAATTGCCCCGTACTTGTGGTAGATCAAGCACTCCCACCTTGCTATGGTTCTCTTCCACGTGCGACTTTGACACCTGCCCAAGAGAAAAACACGGATGTGATGTCTGAACAAAAATGGAAAACATGGCGCCATTTGCAAAAGCAGTCCACGCCAATCATTCAATATGTGTAATATGTGTGTCTGAAAAAAGAAGAAGTACCTAAGTACCTAAGTACCAACCATTTTCAGCAACTCCCACATTCCGCAAAGCAGAAGCATACACAGCTGGCACGCTCCTGGGAATGCGATCGCTTTCGGACCTCCATCTTCTCCTCCTGCGGCACAAAAAAATCCATCCCACCGCAAAACGACGCCGGTGACTCGTGACCTGCCTTACAACAGGCAAGCATGACTCCCATAGCACCTGGCAGAAGCCAGCCAAAATGCGATTCAAACTTGGGACCTTGGACTATGGCGTTGCCATTTGTTTCTTTCACTCGAGTTGAGTTCCAGTGCGAAAAAGGTGGTTCAAAACTCCGTAAGCCGGCATACTCTGTCTTTTGGGACCGGCTTTGCTCAAACGGAATCGATTTGACACCAACTGGTGTGGGGATTCCCTTTGACGCCTACCCCTGTCTGTTCCACATGCTTCCAGCGCAAACCGTGTCTGCAAGAAGGCCGGCCGGACCAGCGACATGCGCACAGCGGCACAGCGGCGACCATGGCAAGGCGCTCACTCAACGGTGCATGTTTGCAGGCACAAATGGAACAATCTGGTATCATGTCTCACATGCAACGGGCAGCAAATCTATGAGTCTGCTGAAAAAGTGCTGGTTATGCATTAGATGATAAGCTCAACGAGTTCGTGTTTTCTGCTGTTCAAGAGCCCTTCAGGCTCTGCGTTTCTCTGGTGCATCCCGCAGTCGCGCAACAACACACCCACTAAAGTGCCGCGCATGAATAGGAAAACTTGTAAAAACAACCTGATCTGCCGTCATCCAAAACAGCCGCTCATTCCAGAATGCACCAGCCTCCAGTCTTCTTACAGGACAGCCTTAATGGAGCACTGGCATCAAAAGCTGCACCAAGCGCATCAAGATCGCTCTTTGGTAGGGGCGAGGAACGGTCGTGTTCAACCGAGCCCTCTACGAACGGAAAACGTGTTTCACGGCTTAGCCGCGCTGGCTGGAATATCTAATCTCATTTGCCGGTCACAAACTTTGTATCCACACCTCAGCTGCAAAGATTCCTAAAACTTGGATGGGCAGCAATGCACCCAGACAAAGATGAGGCACTTTTCGTAGAGGCCCACGTTGGATTCCTTGCAATCCAGGATCACCTCCGGAGAGACACTTCTTTCAAGACTTGCTGGTTCAAAAGTGCGGAAGCAGAATGAGTGACCCAGAACAAAAAGCTAAACTGACCTTTCGAGAGTTCCTTAGCGCCTTGTAGCACCTCCGTCGGCGGGCATCCTCCGCCAGCTCATTCATGAGAGACTTTGCTAGGCCTGGCTGAGGCACATCAAGAAAACATGACGCGCGACAGCGGCAATTTGTCTGAGAACTGCCACGCGCTCTGCCAGACATGCAACCAAGTTGGGACACGCGGTGGTCCCGGCACGAAGAGTCTGATCACAGGAACTCCAAGACTGCCCAATGCATGACCAGCAACATAAACACTTCAGGCAAAGAAAAAACAGGGTTTGGACCCAATATTCTTCAAAGCGAGAACGCAGAGCTTTACCTTGGTCAGAAAAGACCCTTTTGACAGCCAATTCAGCTTGCCCGGGCCTTTGCCCCGATGATGGTCGTCCACGACTACGTCCTGAAAATTATGTGGCTGTGGAGTGTTTGAAGAGAAGCAGCGTCTCCAATACGAAGGTTGAAACTGCAACCACATGTCTCCCACTGTCGCGGACAGCAAACGTCCACACCAGTCACCAAACGCTGTTCCACTGAGAACAGCCGAGGTGCATGAGCCAACTCTGCAACCTGTCAACAGCTGTCCTCAACGTGGCCGACACACGCGCCTCCATGAACAAATTTCGCCTGGGCGCTTTGCGATTTGCTTCTCGCAAGTTCGTGGTGCAGCTCTCTGTGCCTCCACAATCAAGGAGGCCGTGGCCACAAGCTGCTTGGACTCGCAGTGCTCGATGACCAGCGAACGATAAACCTCTGCCTGGGCAAGGCCCTTCTGGCCTTCTGGTTCTTGCAGCCCCTGAATCGAAACGTGATATGCATGTATGGTCCCGTGTTCCGTGTTGCTACCCCCCCCCCCCCATATGGTATGGTCCCCCAGGACCCCCCCCCCCGGCCCGAGACCCCGAGCCCCGGATCCTGGCACCTACGGTCCCCCTGAACTCGCACCCCGACACCCCGGCACCCCCAGGACAAGCCAACCCGCAACCAACCATAAACCAACCAAATACACCCCAAACCAAACCCTAAACCGTAGACCTCTAAACCTAAACCAACCCTAAACCAACCCTAAATCAACATAAATCAACCTAAATCAACCCTGAACCAACCCTAAACTAACCCTAAATACACCCTAAATATACCCTAAACGAATTCTAAACGAACCCTAAACCACCACAACCCAACCACAGGACCACAACCACAGGGGGGGTGGGGGGGTAACCATTGGGGGGGGGGGGGGGCTGGCAAGGCTGTACCATATATGTGTTCCATGCCTGGACCCTCCAGCCCTACATCCCACCTTCTCATTTGGCTGACTACCCAGAAAGCCGAAAAATTTAACGTTGGCTGTTCAAGCAAAGGTTACGACCTCTTGTAACTATCATGAGCATTAAAGAAGCGAGGACGGAGACAAACTCCTGCTATGGGTAAGCCCTCCCCAAATCCTCTTGGCTGCTGGCCATCCCCCATGAGGAACAACAAGGGCGGATTCACTTCCCTCTTTCGCCCTCCAAAGAGTTGGCATGATATGGTATATCCCCCGCATGGTCTTTAGCGAAAAGGAAAAACAAAGGAAAAGGGGAGCCCAAGTCTGTACCACTCATCATCCTGCCACAGGCACAAACCAGCCTTCGGTCCCAACCCCGACCCACCAGCGCCGCTCCTGCCGCTGGCGAAGCTCGAAAATCTCAAGGAAGCGACTCTCGGACAGGTCATCCACCTCAACAGCGACTGGGAAACTTCACAGCCTGTGAAAACGACCAAACCCGGTCGGGACTTTCGTCCGAAAGCAAAATGGCCAGAAAAATGTGGGTTTCAACACTCGAATCCAAAATAACTGATTTGAAACCACGGATCAGCAAAAATATGAACCTGACTTTGGACATCTAAGTCTCAAAGCAAGATGCGAGCCCACACACAAGACAAACGTAGAGAAATCCGGTTTGCTGTCACCCGGCCTCCCCAATCCCCATCTCGAAATCGTAAAACGAACAAACGAACAAGCAAGCCAAGGAAAGAAGAAAACACAGCTGCAAACGAAACAAGGCAGAGACGCCAAAAGGTCCCGAGCCTGAGTAAGCTGCGCCAGAAGCGGGATTAGGCCCTGAAGCAGGCGAATCCCAGGTGCCCAAGCTGTACATCTCAGTGTGGTTCTTGTTTGGGAACCACAATTCAGATGGGGGTTTACTTCCACCAACCATGTTTGCTCCGCAATCAAGTCATCTTTACCCTGGATGCTTCAGATTGGACCATGTGGGCCCGACTGCGTGAAAAACCCCATACTACAAAACACTGCCCCACATGTGACACTCACTGATCCCCCACAAGCCGCCAAATGAGTTTGTGGAGAGGTACCGCAACTCCATTCCAGCTTTAATGGAATGGCTTTGTGAAGCACATGATCATGACAATTCAATATTAAGGAGGTGCTTTGTCTTCATTGTCTATGTCCAGTTCTTCCTTGTGGCGTTCTTCTTTATCATGGTTTTAATGTGCACGTTCTATCGCCTAATAATCCTCACAGGAATTCCGCTGATAACAAAACCGAATTTGTCCCGCTCATCATTAGTAAAATCGTCTATGGAAAAAGAAAAAAAAAAAAAGGAAAAATGTGTCTATCCGCATCTTCTTCAAACTACTTCTTATGCCAATATGCTATGTTACAAGCTGTGCCAAATAAACATGCAGGGTTCATTGTCATACGTACTTCCATTTTCATGTTGCTTGACTTTCTGAGAAGTCTCTCACCTTCATTCTACTTTATGATATTTACATCTGGTAGTTTTCAGAGTCTTCTGAACATTTATATTTTATTTGGATACGTGGGCAATGTCCTGTAGACGACTTTCTATCTTGTGGTCGTATCTTGACATGTTGTTGATTTTTCCTTCTTATCTGTATCTGGTATCTTTGAATATCTTGCAGTTCTTTCACATGTGTTGCAACCTAGGAGACTTACCTTTTGCCGACATCATGTTCCATTGCAAAATGAGTGCAGCCTTTCGCAGCAAGCACCTCGCTAAGGCTTTCATTCTAGAACAACACGCTGCGATTGTTGTAATGATCTCAAGAACTTTACTGACGGCTTGGCATACTGGGAGGGCAGCTTTGGGATTCGGAAACCCTTTTAAATACACTTCAATGCGATTCCGAGCAACTGGACCGAACATGCTACACAAGAGCACATTGCGCTACATGCGGGATCCATCAATAGATAGAAAATCAAATGCCATTTTGTTTGTTTAGCCTCTTGCAATGCCTTCATGAGGCCTCAGTTGTTTTTGCGTTTCACCCAATCAACCTGCAGGCTCCAGAAAGCGTGCCGCGCCCACCTTGTGGAAGTCTTCTCTGCACAAATCACGCATCTCATAGCCCTCGGGGACTGGCGGCACCTAACGGATGTCCACAAGCAAGGATTTGCTGGCGAACTCACACGTCGTGTGTGGGATTCAATGCAGATCAAACAAAGCAAGGAGAGCTGGCCTCCGCCATGATGCACGCGAGAAAAAAACGAAAAAAACGAAAAACATGAACTTCATAGATTTTGATCTCAAAAGCGGCGTCCACGGTTGCCAACATGCGCATACCCCGCTCAATGCCCCCCTCTGGTGCTAGCTTGGCCCCGGCCGCTGTCAATGTGCGTGTTGCTGGCTGCCGTTGTTTTTGTTACAAGTCACGAAACTAAACTCAACTGCCATAGCATATCCTCTGCCAAGTGATGCTGGTGGATTGATGTTGAATCCTGTTCGGATGAAAAAACTTCGGTGCCAGCGGAAGGCAAACACGGACTTGACAAAATGTGAGCAATCGCTAAAGTCACACTCTGGAAGGACTAGGCAGCATGGACACGTGCTTGGCTTCGGTCTGGGGTGGCGCGCGCTTTGGGCTGCCGGCTCGGCGGGCAGGTTTTGGTCTTGCTGCCCGGAGGCCTTGTTGCCCATCAATGCAGCGCAGTACAAAGGTTAGGGTAAATGGCCGGATCATTCCATGGAACACCCCTGCAAACGCCCTGACTGGTGTTGTTGTTCGTGCAACCTGCACTGGGCTGCTGGAGGCAGTAACGCACCCTTTTTGTGCTGGTTCAACGGGCAAGGCAACTTCACTGCCTGTGTGTTGAGACTTGTTTAAACCGGCCTTCGGGGGATCCAACAAGGGTACGCATGCCCTCGTTGACCAGTGGTCTGTGTTCTTTTCTTCCAGAGGCGGAGGCAGTCCGCCTTGAACGCAGTGCCATCAGCCACGCACTGTACTACCATTCCGGCAAACGTCCCTTGCCACCAGGCATCAGTCTTGATTGGCTAAGAGAACAACATTTGTCAACCCTGTTCAGATTGCCAGAGCCAATTTTGAATCCGTGTGCCAACACCATGTTGCTCCAGCACCAAGGAAATTGGCACTTCTAATCCAGAGTCAAGGCCGAGAGGGCACCCATGATGGCAGCTGTCGGTCACACTCTCCCAGGGCTGTGGGGAATGACCACTTCTGTGATACAACAGAAACGGCTTCCCAAAGACTATTTCCTTCATATAAAGGGGGATTCCCTTGTATCACAGAAGTGGGGAGAAACCCCTTGATCCCACAACCCTGCACTCTCCTAACTCGCAACTTCGGCTCGTGTGTCCCAAGGCCTGTTGGAGTGACATCGTTCCAAATCCCGGCCGGCCCCAAACCAGGCCGGATGTGTGCACCAGATTCGTGTGCAAAATCGTGAAATTTGGCTGGACACAAGCCGATCAACTCTGGATTGACTCTGACGACACTGTCCGCCGTGCCGTTTTTTTGTTTGTCGCCAGGACCTTCCCATTTTGCTCATTGCCAATGGAGACATCGGTCTTGCAGCATCCTGTCATTTGAATTTTGCGACCAGGTTACACCAGACTCCTTGACCTTGAGAAACAAGTGAGAGACATTGCAGGCATTGTTCGTGTGTACCTTCCCGGGTTGAAGGGAGGGTGGTGGTAAATTCAATGCCATCAATGCAGGACTTGCGCGGTGTCTGATTGACTGACACCCCATTCGTCAGGTTGGCAAGCTTGTCGATTCATTGCATGACAAGTTGCCGCAAGGAGCGATTCTTGACATGCCCAAGTCTGATGCAAGGTCTCAGGCCATTCTTCAGAAAATCGCAGATCATGACATTGCCAGTGAGCTACAAGGGCTTAACCCCCACAAGAAGAAAGGCAAAGGCAAAGGCAAAGGCAAGGGACAAAGAAACCAGATTCCCGACACGCCTGACATCACTGAACTGTCATTGCACCCTGGATTCTTCCAAGATGACAAGGGAAACAGTCTCCCTATCCTCAATGAGCTCAGTGCCAAATCGTTTGGTGTTGTCCTGATCTCTCCCGATCAGTTACGACCATGGTTGCTGGATTGCAGGTGCCAGATGAACTCGCTGCCGTTCCTTGTCGTCTCCTGGTGCTTGGCCCAATTTCCCGTGTCATGCCGTCACTTGCCCTGCCACTAGCTCTGGTGGCAGACTTGCGTGCAACCCTCACACAGGGAAATGAGAGTCACTCAAGGCCATTGACAACAAAGTGCGTGCCACATCACTGCACAGAGTGACTTGACCCAAACAGACGCTGCATGGGCAATACAGCAGGCGCCAGCCAAGGCTTCTTGCTAGGCTATCACAAACCACCATCAGAGACTCCATTCGCTCTGTGGGGCGAAGCTTCAGAAATCTGAAGGGACCATGCAGGTCCAGGATGCCACATCGAATCGAATCTGGCACATCAGTGAAGCACCCCACGATTCCAAAGGGTTGCCTTATCATGAACTCTCCATGCGGGTCCGTAAGACCAGGGAAAAGGTTGAAAGCCGCTTGCAGGTTCTTCCGCACCTTGGATACATCACTACCGTCCGTGGCATTAGCGTGGTTGGTCGGCGCTACAGCCATATACCAACGACTTTGTGTGTGTACCGCCAAGGATCTAAACATGACCAAAGTCCAGTTCTGGATCACAAGCCAGTGGTGACCCGTGGATGAATGGCCATGACCCTTCGAGTAAACCACCACCAGCCTGTGCGAGCTGGCGGCACCCCGGTATTTGAGCAAGGTGCTAGGAATGGCAGACCCAGCAAGCACAGCAACGTGCTAAGGCCAACGAGTTGCTCGCCAGCCAAGTCCGCACAGAAGTTGGGAACATCCGTGATGCCATGACTTCCATTCAGACCCTTGCGTTAGGACTGTTGATTTCCATATTTTTGTGCATCACAGAAATTGGGAGAAACCAAAAAAGCAGGGTTCGGGAGACTGTTGGATTGGAGTCGATTGCAATCCCCCAGCATTGCTGACAAATCCGTCTTGATTGGTGATTTAAAATTTGATTTCCTTGTCTTTCGGAAACAAGTGCAACTAAGACTGTAAGAGAGGGCAGACGAGGGAGTGGCAGTTCTGTCAAGGCTCCCCATGCATTCACCACGCTTGGCCTTTCTCTTTTGAAGGGATTCCCCAAACGGATTCTATTGCACCTCGGAGGCTTCTGACACTCGTCCGTCCAGGAAACGACCTCGTCCTGCGAAGGATTCGATAACTAAAATGCTGCGTGCAGGCGTGTGGCTGCAACAAAACGACCCCTAGATATGCTTGCAAAATGCCCCGCAGCTGCGTTTCTGCAAGGCGAGCTAAAAAACCAGGGAAAAAATAGGGTTCCCCGACCGACCGACGACGACGACCGAACGGACAGCCGAACGACCGAACGGCCGAACGACCGAACGACCGAACGACCGACGACGACGACCGAACTGCCGAACGACCGAACGACCGAACGACCGACGACGACGACCGAACGACCGACGGCCGAACGACCGACGACCGACGACCGACCGACGACCGACCGACGACCGACCGACGACCGACCGACGACCGAGGGTTCCAAAAAAAGGGTTTCCTTTGAGGCGGCTCGCCTTGCAGAAACGAAGGCAGCTGCGGGGCATTTTGCCAAACCGCATATCTAGGGGTCATTTTGTTGCAGCCACACGCCTGCACGCAGCATTTTAGATTTCGAATCCTTCGCAGGACGAGGTCGTTTCCTGGACGGACGAGTGTCAGAAGCCTCCCAGGTGCAATAGATTTGGGGAATCCCCTCTAAAGAGAGAGGTGCGATGTTCTATGTTCGCGCTTTCGCGCGCAGTCTGCAGCTGTCGCTGCAGTTCGCTGCTGCTCCGCTGCAGTTCGCTGCTGCTGTCCGGGCTATGTTAATATTGATCCAATGTTGCGCTTTCGTTGCTTCAAGACAACTCAATATTGCCTCAACAATGGCCTGGGTATGGAAGCCTCGACGCCAACCTGCCGAGCCGAGCCACGTCCAGCCTGGCATCGAAGCCTCAACGCCAGCCTGCCGAGCCCCGCCACCCGAGGTCGGAATTCCGACTTCGCCCCCCACCGAGGTTGGAATTCCGACTTCGCTCTCCCGCCGAGGTCGGAATTCCGACTTCGCTCCAAGCTTCCGATTTTGCCCAAAAAACCCACTGCCGGGCCACTGCCGAGCAAATGCCGGGCCATCGCCGGAGACCGAATGTGTACCGAATGCGCTTTTTTTAAGTGTGGGAGCGATACCTGCAAGAGCGGTATCCCTCCCTGAGCTTCTGGAGCTTGGTTTTCAGCAAAAAGTCATCCACACGCCGCGATCATCTGTGGGTGTGGCCCACACATGCCGCGATCATCTGTGGGTGTGACCCACACATGCCATGATCAGGGTGCGCCGGGCCATCGCTGTGCGCCAAAACGTGCGCCAAGTGTGTGCTTTTTTTTCTGGGAGCTATACGGTGAGAACAGTATCCCTCCCAGAGTTTGCAGCACAAAAAACAGAAGCCGCCCAGCCGGCCTCGCTTTCCGGGCGGAGCCGCACAGCCGGCCTCGCTTTCCGGGCAAAGCCGCCCAGCCGGCCTCGCTTCCCGAGCTAAAGCACAAGTGTTGCTTGTGCTTTCTCAGCAGCTGCAGTGGTCCATAGCACGAGTCTCGACGTACTGGATTCGTACCCAAGCATGTGTCAGAAACTAACACACGCTACGCTCCACATCCAAGGCCACCCACGGACTGTGTCACCCCATGACACGTACTCGGGGAAGCTTGTCCGAAGTCCAAGAGTTTTTCCGAAGCACCGGCTGCTACCCCCCGCTTCGGAAAACTCCCACACGCTGACGAAGCACGATCGGAATCCGGACTGAATGGTACTCACGTGCGCTCGTGGCAGGAATCGAGCCCGCGCGGGGCAAGAACCCGCAAGCCAACGCGCCGCTGTTGAACCACTGGACCAACAACGGCGGCGAAACACATGGGAAGCCGGGTTCGGTCGACTCGAAATTCTGTCGAGACCACCATTGTCCGCAGTCAGTGCTGCCACCCCTCACTGCGGACAACTCCCAACGCCCCGTTCGGGCCTCCGATCCGTGGCTAAACTCGTCCAACTCCGACCTTGGTGAGTTTTTCCGAAGTGAGTCCTCCGACGCCTCACTTCGTGATAACCGCACGTTTTCCGAAGTAGCCTCTTCCAGGGGCGACTTCGCGCAAGGACTCCTAAGAAAACATGTTTGAAGGACCAGTCAC